TGTCTTACCATTCCAACACTACTTGTACTTAAAATTTTAATTATCCTGACTCTTCATAGTTCCTGAGCAAAGAGTTTTGTCAGATACATCTCTGCCTTTGCTCTTACCATTCATTCTTTTACATTTATTTTTCACTAATTTCCCCCTAATTAATTTGAACCCTACCTCCCACAGGAAATCTTCCCTGGTGCTCCTGAGTTTGGGTTGGGGGTTCCGCCATAGCACATAGAAGATACTGAGTTTTCATTTTTTCTCTATCATTAATTGCATTATATTAAAATCATATTTTGGGCCTCCCCGGTGGCGCAGTGGTTGAGCGCTGGGTTACGAAGCTGCCCGCAGCCTCTGCAGCGCTGGTTCCATCTCCATCTGCCGGGTGAGGGGCCCACATGGTACGCAGACCTCTCCTGCCACCCGCTGCTCCCCTCAGCAGTGCACTTCATCAGTCTGCCTGCTCTGCTCTCCGCTCTGACTCTGGTGAATTCTCTCACCCTCCCGTGCTTCTGACTGTACCCAGTGCTTGTATAAACAAATAAATAAATAAATATTAAAAAAAAAAACATCTTTTTACTCCTCTGGCCTTATAAACAGGCCTTCAACACATTCAGGGGCAGGTAGTAGGCATCAATCAGTTTTTTGTACCTGCCTGGCACAAAGCAATTGATTCCATAAATGCATGTCAAACTGGACAGAGAGTTAGCCAATTAGAAGCCTTCAGTAGCCTATCTAGAGTCCCATGACACTGAAATCAATTCAGGTCTCCATTGCTTCAGAGCCAAAGGCTGAAGTCAAAATTGGACCTCAAGTCATGCTTGAGGAGTTTCTGAAATCTGACCATTTTAAGAGAATCAATAGATTTTGGTTAAGATAAGGCTGACAGCTGAATCTTAACAGATGGCAAGCAGCCAGATACAGCTAAAAGTCAGGAGTTTAAGCAACATTCTACCCCGTCGCCTTTGCTCCTTAATATAAGTGTTGCTGAAGTGGCCTGATTTAGCCTGGCCTATAGTCCACCCAGGAAGTAAGTCAGGGAAGTAGGACCAGCCAGAGAGTTGACCAGAGATGTCCCCAATGTCAGTCTTGGGATGTAGCTGGAGGCCCAAGTCGATACCAAACTGGCTTACACTGCTACCACTCCCTCTGATTGGGGTGCTGCTGCAAAGAACATTTTGAAAAGTACACCTTATATGTAATTAAAAGCATAGACCAAAAATATTTCAGAGGAAACGAAAATTCTTCCAAAACTCTGGGAAAATGAGCTTAGAATCAACTTTCTTTCCCCCTACCTCCTACTTGTAGCTAGGGCCCTCACAGCTTCAGAATAACAGGATATAAATGCTAACAAAATCAGTTATCTGGCCATAGAAACTAAACATATGCCTAAAAAAAATACCATGTTTATTATTTTCCACCTGTGTCTGTTTGTTTTTTCCAGATTTCAGACAAACAGGTTTCTTTGCGTAGACGGTCTAAATGCCAACCCACAGACAAGGTATTGCTAAGCATGCATTTCTTAATATTATGTATGAAGTACATAGTATTAAGATGCTAAGAACCATTTTCAGATTATGGTGTGTGTATAGGGAAGGGACAGAGAAGTTACTTAGGACCAGAGATGAAAACAGTTTATACTTAGTTTCTAAAGCAACCCACGCATTCAGTGTTAGAACTGAGCAGAATCCCACTAGATATTGTAGCTTCCTTCTGTAGTTTGTTTCTATTTCGCCATAAGTACAGCCACTCACCTATTATAAATATGTTAAAGATCACATTGTATGGTAGCAGCAGTTCTGAGAGGACACCAAATCCCACAACTCCCCATTCTTTCTAAGTCCAATTGTTTTCTCTACTCGCCGAGGATTTCATCTTCAAAGTATTTTTATAAATATTAACCAGTAAAGGCTGTTACCCAACCATGTGGGATGAGAGCAACAGTCATGCACTGGTCCAGTGAATAAATGTGAAGAGGCAAGAAGCCAAGATGAGTTGTTAATGTCAGTCAAAAGAAAACTGGACTTTGTCAGAAAAAGTCAATGAGGTTCATAGAAATTGTATGTTTTTAGAAGACTGGGAAAAGATAATCTAGTCAATATCTCTGTCTCTAGAAAGTCATCATGTAAACTACTAAAAACTTTGAATGGTTCTTTATCATCATTTGGAGACCTATTGCTTGTAGCATTCTAAAATGTAATCATTTTCGATTATAGTTTAATAATCCACTAAACTTATAAGGTTTTCTGTCTAGTGAAAGTTTTATTTGAGAATCATCAGTGTGTTCCAGTCTTTGTGTAAACAGGGAATAAAGATGCTTCCAAAAGTCTGAAACCTATGCAGTGACACAGAGCCCCATAATTTGAAGGACCTGAACTTTTTTTTTTTTTTTTTTTTTTTTGGTTCAAAACACTGAAATTCTTTTAATGTCCTACTATACCCATCATGAATTTTTAATAAAGTTCTTACATTTTCCTTCTTTGCTGGCTCTGAAAATTATGTAGTCAGTTATGTAGTCCTTATACTTTACATGCCTGAATTTCTGAAAATATACACTACCAATTTTGAATCTGAGTAATACAGGAAGTGGTATTATGGGGATGTTGGGTACAGGAAGTGATATTATGAAACATTAGAGATATATCTGAGGACATTACAAACCTGAAATTCTTCTCCCAGACTGCATGCTGTAGACAGAACAGGAGTTGGGGATTTCAATTTAGATACAATTTAGGAAAGCTATGGCCAGAAGTGAGAATCTGTAAAAACAAACAATTCAAAACAAAATAAAAATTTATATCAGTGCCTCATATTTAACCTGTAGCCATTCCTACTTGAATGTAATCAGGATACATGTTAGAACAAGAAGTACCTTAGTGCCAAGCTGCCAGGCTCTGCCAGGTCTGTAAAAAGCACATATGACTCTTTCCCCTTTGTACATTCATTGGTGAGGTTCTAGAAACTGATGTTGGCATAGCTTTAGAATGCTGCAGGAGGCAGAACCCAATCCAAATCATTCTTTTCACAGATGTCCTGGCTCCTGACAGCTGCAAAAATTGTTTTTTGTCTAGTATGCTGCTTTGACTCCAAACAGGTCTCAGAAGAAGCAGGGCCCTAGGAAGCCATTGCGTAGTGTTTTGTTCCTGACTATAAGGCATCTTGATGGTTTACAGTCTTCATCAGAGAATGTTCATTATTGATTTGACAATTAAACTAACACTGCTTGGTTTGATCCCTATGGTAATAAAGCAGCAGCATGAGAAGCTATGGGAAACATACAAATAAATCCTGTGGAGGTTTGAAGATATTTTTTCCTTGGGATATACTATATAGCCTTTAGTTAATTGTAGAGGAAAAAGGGGGAAAGAGTCAGCTAGTACTTTCACAACTTTCATTTTATTATCCATCATATTTTATAGTGTTCCTTTTGACAAACTTGTCCTACATAACCTTGAAAGTCTTTTCCAGCCATGCAACTCTGATACTGTGATAATCTTAAGAAAACACAACCTGACTTGAAAAGTCTCTGAGTCCATACCCAAGCTTCATGTTTGGTTTCAAGCCATATGACCAACATTTTTTGAAATCTGGTGTGTGTTGAGGGCTCTGGAATAATCTCAATAGTTATGTTGAAAAGATAAACCTTATTTCTGTTAATCTTCTAGATAGAGCAAAAGGGAAAAACCGGTCAGGCTTGTTCATGGTCTCTATCACATACTAACCATACCACCATTTTTTAAAAGATTTATTTATTTATGCATACAAGAACTGGGGTACAGGCCTGAGGTGTGGGGGTGAGAGGACTCAAAAGAGACAGAGTAGGGAACAGAAAAGGCAGACTGAGTGAATTACACTGCTGAGGGGAACAGTGGGTGAGTCAGGAGAGGTCTGCTGCATCATGAGGGGATCTCCCTGGCCAGGGATCGAACTCGTGCTGCAGTGGCTGCAGATAGCTTTATAGGTTGTGTCTTAACCCCTTACACCACCAAGGAGGCCCAGATGTCACCTTTATCTCTTAGAACCCCAACTCTATATGATGATTAATTTTTAATAAAACATTATATCTGGTTGTACAAGAAGCCAACTTAGAAGTAAAGGAGCCAAAGCTAAAGAACTATGGGTTTCATATAAGATAGAGCTTACTTTCAGCTATAAGGATCATGAAAAGTTTCATGGCTAGGGGCGTGTATACTGAAAATACTGAAAAATGGTCAAATTTTACCAGGACAGGGTGGAGATGAGTGACAACTCTGAGAAGACCAGACTCAAATCTAGCATCGGCAATGGCAAAAGGCTTCAGGAAAGCACACATTGTGTGTATGTGTTTGTGTGTGTGTGTGTGTGTGATGGTGAGAAATTCACATTGAATAGAGCACACATTTAAGGGTCAAATATGTTCAAAATCCCAAAACAAATATGACAGAGACTCTGCAAGTTTTTTTTCTATCTTGATTTCTGGATTCCTAAATTTCATGAAAACATGAAGCAGTAGTATATTTATATCATCCCAAAATTTCTATTGCCGTAAATCCTTCCCCTTCTCTCTCACAAGATAAGTTGCCTGAGAATCACCTGTTCCTGGCCACTAAGCCCAAAAAGACACAAGAAGCCAAGCAAGCATTATAATTTCTCAACATCAAGTGAAAAGAATGGGCATTCACTTGCAAGCTTAATTAGTCACAGAAAGCCACTGATTTTCTCTTAGCAAACTTGAACAAAATGAAAGCTTTGTGATTCTCTGAAGATGTTACTGCAGTTCAATTAGTCCAAACTCTGCCTATAATTCATCATGAGATTTTGGATAGGATACTTTGTCTTTCTTGGTCTTTGTTTCTCGTCTGGAAATCAAGTGTGTCAAACTAAGAGTGTGGTTAAGCAAGGAAGTGCTTTAGCATCTAAATGCCAACAATCTGCCAGTATATAAGGATGTATATAATTAAAAATAAAATTCAAAATTGAATAAAGATTTGGATTTAAGTATTAAAACCATATAATACCTAAAAGAGTACCTGCTTTGGCATCATACATACTAAAATTGGAATAATACAGAGAAAATTAACATTGCCCTTGTGCAAGAATAACATGAAAATTTGTGAAGTGTTCCATATTTTTTCAGATCATAAAGGTATCAAACTAGAAATCAATATCAAAATGAAGCAGGGAAATCTTTTAATATATAGAAGCTGAACAACAAACTATTGAAAGGCCACTTTGTTAATGATGAAATCAAAGAAGAAATTAACAAATACCCCGAGACTAATGGAAATGTGCACACAACCATCAAAACTTATGGAACACAGCAGAAGCAGTACTAAGGGAGAAATATCAATGTATAGCAACACAGGCCCACATCAAGAAACAAGAAAGAGCTCAAATAAACAAACTTTTTTCTCAACTTGAGAAATTAGAAAAAAGAAAAACAAACTAATCCAAAAGCCAATAGAAGAACAAATATAATAAAAATTGAAGCAGAAGTAAATGAAATAGAAATTAAAAAGACAGTCTAAAAGACCATTGAAACCAAAACTGCTTCCTTGAAAAAAATAAACAAAATATACAAACCATTAACAAAGCTTACCTTGCAAATAAGGGAGACTCTCAGATAAATTGAATAAAAAAAATAAGAGACCAGGAAAAAGACTAATCAATGCAAAGTAATAATCAAAATCAACAAGCAACTATAAACCAGAGACACACTATGGGGGGGGTGTATTAGGGGGCAGGGAGAGGAAGGACTAGAGTCAAAATAAGGGAGTGGTGCAATTGTATGGGGAATATAACCAAAATGAAAATGCATACATTGTACAAAGATGAAAAATGATGTAAGAATTATATAAAATAAAATATTAAAAAAATAAAGGAGAGAAATCATTACAGGTGATGCAGAAATTGAGAGGTTATAATTAGAGACTACTATGAACATCTATATGCTAACAATTTCAATAACATTGAACAGATGGGAAAATTCTTAGAATTGAACAAACTAATCACAAGCAAAGAAATTAAAACAATAATCAAAAAACTCTCCCAAAACCAAGATTCCATGACCAGATTATTCAAAAGTGAATTCTACCAAACCTTAAAAGATGAATTAATACCTATTTAAATGAAATTCTTCAAAAATTTTAAAAAGAAGAAATACTTCCAATTGTTTTTATGAAGCTAACATTATTCTAATACCACAAAACCAAACAAACACAAAAATAGTAATTTATAGAACAATCTTCATATTGAACAAAGATGCAAAATTCCTGCACAAATCATTGCAAATTTAATCCAACAATGCCTTAAAAAGACCATACATCATGACCAAGTGGGATGCATGCCAGGAATACAAGGTTGGTTCAACATCTGAAAGTCAATCACCATAATTCACCACATCAACAAAAAGAAAGATGAAAACCATATGATCATAACAATAGATGTTGAGAAAGTATTTAAGATCCAAAACTCCTCAAATAACAGGGGATTAATGAGTGACTACTATGTACCTTAACATAATAATAGCCATTTAAAATAAATCCATAGCTAATATCATTTTCAATGGTAAGACTGAAAACTTTTCCAATAATCTGGTTCAAGACAAGGATGTCCACTTTTACCATCGCTATTCAACACAGTATTAGAAGTTCTAGCTAAAGGAATTAAATAGTGAAAGATATAAAAAGAAAACAAGTTTGGAAAAAATAAAGCTATCATTATTTTCAGATTACATGACAATATACATAAAGAATCCTCAAGAGTCTGGAAAAATTGTTGAAACAAGCAGTTTAGAGGCAGGGTATAAAATGAAAACATGGAAATCAGTTGTCTTCCTTTACTAAATAATGAGATAGAAGAGGAGAGAATTAAGAAAGTGATCCCATTTTCAATTACATAAAAAAAAATCAGATACCTAGGAGTAAACCTAACAAAAAAGGTAAAAAAAAATCTGTAAAATGAAAACAATAAATTATTGCTGAAAGACATTGAAGAAATGGAAAGACACAAATAAATGGAAAAAAATAAGTATTCCCTGCTCATGTACTGGAAGATTTAATATCATCACAATATCCATTCTACCCAAAACAATATACAGATTCAACATAACCCCAATAAAATATCAATGACATATTTCAAAAAATTGTAGAAAATGGTGCTAAAATTCATACGGAATCACAAAGGACCTTGAACAGCAAAAACAATCTTGACAAAGAAGGAACAGATTGAATGCATCACACGGCTAGACCTCAAGTTATGTTATAAAGCCACAACAATTAAAACAGCCTGGTACGGGAAAAAAAGCATATAGAAAGACCAATGGAATAGAAGTAAGAACCAAGGAATAAACCCACACATATACTGACAGTTAATCTATAACAAGGGAGCCAAAAACATCCATTGGAACAAGAACAGCCTCTTTAGTATAAATGGTGCTGGGAAATCTTGACATGCACATGCAAAAGGATGAAAATAAGACCACGATCTCACACCACGCAACAAAATCAACTCAAAATGGATGAAAGGCTTAGATGTAAAACTTGAAATCATAAAATACATAGAGGAAAACATAGAAAAATATTTCATGACATAAACTTTGATGGTGCCTTCAGGGATTCGTCCCCAACAGCAAGGAAAAGAAAAGAGAACATAAACAACTGGGATGACATCGAAGTAAAATGCTTCTGTACAGTGAAAGAAACCATACCTAAATTAAAGACACCCTACTGAATGGGAGAAAATATTTGCATACTGTACATCTGACAAAGGACTGATATCAAAGATATACAAAGAACTCATAAAACTCTACAAAAACAAAACACCCAATCAAAATAAATGAGCAAAAGAACTATAAACAGACACCACTCTAAAGAAGAGATTAAAATGGCCAGCAAACACATGAGAAAATGTTCACAATCACTTATTATAAAAGAAATGCAATTCAAGACCACAACGAGATATCATTTCACACCTGTGAGAATGGCCCATATGAAAGAGCAGAAACAACAAATGCTGGTGAGGATGTGGAGAAAAGGGAACCCTCCTACACTGCTGGAGGGAACATGAACTGGTCCAGCCCTTATGGGGGTGTCTCATAACTTGAAAAGTGGATGTTTCACTCCCAGTTTCACTCCCAGACATCTATCAAAAAAATTCAAAGACACTAATTCAAAAGGAAACTTGCACTCCCATGTTTACTGCTATTTGCTGTAGCTAAACTACATAAACAATCAAAGTGCCCTGGAACAGATGAGTGGATCAAGAAGATGTGGTACATATACACAATGGAATACTATTCATAAATCAAAAAAGATAAACTTATACACTAGGGGGTGAGGGAGGAAAGGAGGGACTAAGGTCAAAATAAGGGGGTTGGGAATTTTATCAGGAATATAACCAAATTAAAATGTATACATTTTGAAAAAATGAAAAATGATGTAAGAATTATATAAGTGAAATATCAAAATATAAAAAAGAAGCAGGTGGTGAGTGTAGGCTGTTAATCCTTGAAATAATTGATATATAATTTTAAATATTATATAAAATTTTATTTTTAATATGATTGTTTTTACATTTATTCATTTTATTACATCATTGATAATTTGGGGGCAGTATTTGATTTCTTTCCTTAGATGTAGTTCCCATAGTTCTCCCACCGCTATAGTACCCATGACCATCCACCATATTTCTTTTGTGCTTGACCCTCCCCTACCCCTTCCCTGCGGTATGCCTCAGATCTATAGTGAGCTTGCAAGATTTGTCTTTTGTATGACCTTTTGTTTGGATTCCCTATATTCCCTCTATAAGTGACACCTTCTGATATTTATCTTTCTCCTTCTGACTTATTTACTTAGCATAATCCCCTCCTTTTCCATTCATGTAGCTGCAAATAGTATAAGTTTATCTTTTTTGATGTCAAGATTTTGGAATTTCATTTTAGCCATTTTGGTAGTATTTGGGAACACTGGGAGAAATGAGAAATTGGATCTGTTCTCAAAAAATCTAGATCATTTGTTTTCCTTCCCCATTTCTACAACTGCAAAGAGACCAGCTTGTCGCCTCAATTTTCAACCAGATCTTTGATAAACCAGTTAATTGGCCAAAGGTTCATGTGAGCATATTATTTAATAACTCATCATCTTCAGAATTGACCTTCAGTGATTTGTAAACCTTAAAAGTATTCCTCTATATCCTCTATCTAGAAAAATTAGCATGAGCAAGCTTACCAAAAGTCTTACTGAAGTTCCAAATCCTTTCTCCCGTGTGGATACCTTCTTAAAAACATACAGAAAACCAAAGCAGTTGGTCTGTTGTCACTTCTTCTTAGTGAGTGCGTGTTGGCTACAAGTATAGACTTTTTTTATGTTCTCAAGAACCATTACTTGAGAAAGTCATTTTTTAAAGTTTGTTTTTTTTTTTTTTTTTTTTTTTTTTTTTTTTTATAGAGGCATGCTTTATTTATTTGTTTGCTGGTTTGTTTGTTTTGTTTATACATGCACTGGGTACAGTCAGAAGCGCGGGAGGGTGAGAGAATTCACCAGAGCCAGAGCGGGGAGCAGAGCAGGCAGAAGGACCGAAGTACACTGCTGAGGGGAGCAGCGGGCGGCAGGAGAAGTCTGCACGCCATGTGGGACCCTCCTCCGGTGGCCGGGGAGCAGCCGGGGATCGAACCGGCGCCGCAGAGGCCGCGGGCAGCTTCGCAACCCAGCACTCAACCGCTGCGCCACCGGGGAGGCCCAGAAAGTCATTTTTTGATTCTCATCTCAGATTAATTTCATTAGTGGCTTATCAAAAGTATCCTGTTTCCCTTTATAATAATGTTTACCCTATTGAACTATCTTCAGATTTCAAGATTCTCTGTCATCCTTAAGGACTACTACCCGGTGGTTTGACCTTCACTCACAGTTTTTGGCATGTGATTTTTGTCTTATTTAGGAGAGTTGTACTTATTTAAAGCAATTATACCATCTTTTACAGTTTCCTCATGTCATTTGTATTCCATGTACTCTAAACAAATGTTAATTTTACTGTGTTTAGGACTGACAATAATTTTCTGTCACTCTATTTAACACTGGTAGTAGGAATTAATTTATTCGATTAGCTTTTTTAATCTCTCAGAAGAGTGGTGGCCT